CCCCCCTCCCCCCCCCCCCCCTCGCATCAATCCCTCTTTCCACCTCCCCCCATTCATATACCGCCCTTTCAACCTCCACCACTGCCGCCTCCAATCCCACCCGCCTCCCAAAATCCCCTTTTGACGTCGCCCCCAAAACCTCCCGCGCCAGATCTAGCGCCGTCCTCCCCCTCCCATCCTCCACCGCGGCATTCGCCCCTACCTCCACCAACACCCGCACGGCACCGGCCCGGGCCCCGCCCCGCCCGTCCCCCGCTGCCATATGCAGCGGCGTTAGTCCTGCTCCATCCCTTTGATCAACATCCGCCCCCATCTCCACCAACAGCTTTATGCATTCCTCCGACCCCAGTCCAGCCACGAAGTGGAGTGCGGTGCGACCATCGGAGTCCTCCGCGTTGGGATCGCGGGAGACCGATTCGTCAGAAAGGAGAAGGGAAAGGGCAGCAGTGTCCGCTTTGCGGGCTGCGGTCCACCAGGGGGTTTCGTATTCGTCTATAACGTCGGCCGCGACTCCGGTGGCGGGGATCCAAGAAGGGGTGTGTCCGTCCTTCCATTCGATGAAGTATTCGGTGGATTTTGCTGTTGAGACAGAGCCGTCTTCAGCGAAAATTGGGGTGCGGACGGTGCGTCGGCCGATGATTCGATTAACTTCGCTGTAGTAGTCGCCGTCCGGCGGTGGGTCTGTTTCTGTTTTGGTTTCTATGATGGGAGATGAGGGGTATTGGTTCTGGAAGGTGGTAAAAAGGAAAGCGGGAGGGAGTCGGCGGCGGCGATGGGCAGAGAAAGGGAGGGTGATGGGGAGAGCGTTTGAACGAGGGGAGATGAGGAAATTGAGGGGGAGTTTGAGAGGGGAAAGGGAGGGGTGTTTGAGGACTATCTCCATGGGAAGTTGATCGGCGAGGGAGGGAGAAGAAGAGGGAGAGAGTGGGGAAGAAGGCGTGAGCAATGCGCTAGCGGGAAATGGATAAGGAAAATGGATGCGATTAGGATTTTATTCACGGACTCCAAGGATTGAGTCGATTTACATACATTTCATAATCTTTAAGGGAGTTTTACCCATGCTTTATTAAAGAATTATTTAATTTACTGAAAATGAAATGTAATGTAAGCACAACTTTTTATTTGTGAACGGCTCGTGTTCGGTTTGTTAAGCAAACGAGTCAAACACAACACATTTTTGAGCTCAAAATATGAATGAGCCGAACATAAGCTGAGCCTGAGCTTGCTCCTGTTCAGCTCGTTTACTCTTCTACTTATCTTCTTACATTTACATCAGAGGGACCAACTATATATAGGCCAAGCCTTATAGCTGTCAAGGGCAGGCGAGAGATAATTACAGAAATAAATATTAGAAAGTGATTACAATAATAAACATAATAATATTAAAAATTTTGATAAAGTAACACTTGCTTTATCATTTTCTTTTTAAAAAAAAATTAGAAGGACATGCAGTTCCATTAAACTTGTATAGAAACTTGGGTGCATAATTAAATTATGCAGCTTCATTTAAGGGTTTATAAACATGCACCTCATGAGAAAAAATATTGTTAGCTCGGCACAGAAGGCTCACATTAAACTAGCAAGCAAAAACATTAACAAAAGATACCTATACTGTTCTATAATAATTTCTTTCAGACACATACGGATAGATACATTGACACGCATTTGGGCATATAATTAAAGACAACAATTCAACCAACATCAAAGCAAATAATTTTATATCCATTAATTAGTGTTGGATTTGGGCATGATTGTGCTTTCAAATTTAAATGTAACGGTAACATGAAATCTCATTTAATAAATTATTTACATGCATAACAATCAATTCTTAATTATTTACACATCTAACTAGTAAATTTTATTTTTATATACATAACACCCTATGCATAAAAGATGTATTTCATTTACAAAAGGACATTTGTCCTCATGGAATACATGACATAGAATTTCTTCAGTTTTGCACAACAAAAGATTTTTGCCTTGCTCCTCTATGGCTTTCATCTTCTCTAAAAGTTCTGCGCTTTAGTTGCGAAGACAAATAGGAAGGCAAAGATTGATGGAAACCCAACAAATTTATCTATCAAATTTCCAAATTTGGAAGTTACCAATCCATATAAAGTCCACGCAACTGGGCAGCAATATCATCTCCACTAACTAGGGGTGTAAACGAGTCTAGTTGAGTGGAGTTCGAGCCACCCTCGGCTTTAGCTTGAGCTTGATTGATTTTATCAAGTTAGAGTTTGAGTTCGAGTCAGCTGGTGAGCCGGATTGTTTAATATAAAAGAGAGAAATTGATATTAATTTAAGCTAGTTATATAATAAGATGACAACTATAATGAATAATTAGGAAATAGATAATAAAAAATTACCTAATATGCAAAAATATTATTTTTTAACATTTTTAATACGTTAAGGATAAAGTATTGAAATTTTATTTGTTTTGGGTGTATTCTATATAAATATTTTCTTAAACGAGTTGGCTCACGAGCAAACGAGTCGAGACAGCGCTACCTTGAGCTTGGCTTGTTAGCTCATCGAGCTCATTTCACAGGCCACTTATCGAGCCAAGCTCGAGTCAGCTAGATTCACTTACACGGCACCAACTGGCTTCCTCTACAAAAAAAAGAAAAACACCTTGTTTATGCATTTATTTATTTATTATTGTTATTTTTTGAAATGATTATGCTTTTATTTAAATAAACAGATGCTTTTAGTATGATAATGAAACAAAATTTACTAGCCATGGGATAATAAAGCCAGAGAAGAGACTCCACACTCCATTAAATGCTGAAGAAATTATGGAGGCGTTTTTCTAATTGGGAGTTAAGCCTAATGCCATCATTCCTTAGCATATAAAGTACATGAATGTGAAGAGCATGAAGAACAATTACCAAAAGAATTGGGCATATGTACGTCCATTCAAAGTTCAAACGCATTCATGCAATCAACTATAATAACTTAGATGATAGCTTGGGTTAAGACAATTACGTAAAAATACAAGTTTGGTGTTACATTTGTAAATACATAGGAATCGAATCATATGTATGTAAATCTTCGTTTATAATTTTAAGCTTTCTTCATGAATTAGATGCAAATACTTAGAAACTCCTCAATATAGATACTTCTGATGCCTTCCAAGAAAAATTGTTGGACTGAGCTTACTGTCAGATATGCAAACGATCGCCAAAAACCGCTCATTTCTTGTGCATTCATAAACCTATCACCTAAACTTTAGATTTGTAAAAATACATGAGAATCAGGAGGCATGTATGTAAATGCCCGTTTGTATTAAGGTGTATCAGCAGGAGTCATTCTTACCTCATCTATAGCACACAAAACAAATATTTCCACTGTCTTGTGCTTTAGAATTTTGTATAGATTGCATTTAAAGAGTTCTGAGAGCTAAATTATACAGATAAAGATGAAAACTATAGCTGAAAATTGAAGAACTTCAACTTACCGCACCTGTATTTAATCTAACTTGCTCGATTATTGTAGGGATCTCGTGTCTGGTCTCCTTCCCACAGGTGCTGAAGAGATTTTGAACCAACCAATATGAGTAAGAAGCAAAGCTTAGCATGAGCACCTCATAAGATGATTGTTTGATTATTTTATTTCTGGTTTAAGATTTATGAGGGGGCTAAGCTTCTCAAATCCTTTAAGATTTATGAAACGGAGAGTTCAAAGAAGTGATTATGGAAACAATTAAGAATCATAGCAACATAAAATCATAGCTCACCACTTAAGATTCATGTCATAACTTGCTTGCATAACAATGATTGTGATAGCTATGTACCTGAATTCTACAAAAATGAAGTGCAAAAAATCAGTTTATTCTTTTAGAAATGATGTTTCATAAATGCTTACATCAACAAACTAAAAGAACTGTTTAAAACTTTCACCGATGAAAAAAGTTATTGCTTAAATGAAGAGAGTAATAGTGAATCATTGCAAATTTCAATTGAAAAAAGAAGATTTACATACATCCACAGAATTCATGTGTTTAGATATCTAACAACTAAAATTTAATTTTTAATAGAAGATAATGTAAATTGATAATGATGACTATTTTTCCAGAGCCATTTAAGCAGAATGAAGAAAAGATACAGAGACACATACCTCTAGAAAACTCATATTTACAAAAAGTAATTTATTACATGAAAGGTGATGTAAAAGTTCCTTATTCATACTGATATTCGTACAAGCAATATTGTCCTCAGCAATTTCTTTTTCCCCCATGAGGAGAAGATAATTTTTCTTATCATGTATTTTTTTTTTCAGAAATAGAACTTCTTTGTAGTTGGAAAGAAAAAGATGATGATCACGGGCATTAAGTTTGTATGGAGCTATTTCAACTTGAATACAAGCATAAGCTGCAAAATTGAACACACTGAAATATGTGATTGAAGATTTTAGCACATATGGAGCAAAAGAAATACTTCATGTTGCCTGCCATGGCTCAAACTTGATATTAATAATTACAAAATCAGAGTACTTATGGTGGGTTTTTTAATTATATATGAATTGATAATTTTTAAGAAATTTGCACACTGTATTGACTGCTAAGCTAAGAATTTTTAAGAACTTATGTATTTCACAAAATTAAAAGTTTTGTATATAAAAAATTAAAAAATAATTTATATATAGTGCATAGAAGGGTAAAATAACACTAGTTGAAGCATAAATAGAAGGTAATTAAAGACAGGAAAATAGGATAATAAATAGAATAGTTAACTAAAATAACAAATAAAGAACCGTTGAAAGATCTCGAAAATACTAATTATTATATTTTATATTTGTTATAACTCTATATTTAGAGGGTTATAAATTATATGAGGGATCTTGGGAATCTCTATTTAATTTTCTCCTTAAATTAGAGAGATTAGTTGTCTCTTATATTTTGTTATTATTCATTTATTTTCCTACTGTATTCTGTATTTATTGTTTTCCATACCAGTAAGTCTTGTAATGAGCATTTATAGCCTTCTTTTCATCAATAAAATTAAGTCATCTCATATCTTTTCATGGTATCAGAGTAATAATAACCTTCTTCGGTATGACGACTTCATCTTCTTTCTCCCAAGAAATATCCCCTGTCTCATTTGCCCCTGTTCTAACCGGAATCGATGGCACTTTCTCCCTCATCACTGGCCACAAGCTCAACGGCCAAAAATACCTCTAATGGTCTCAATCTGTCATGATGTTTATCTGCAGTAGGGGCAAGGAAGACTATATCACAGGTGATGTCGTCGCTCCGACCAAAGATGACCCAAAATTTCGGGCATGGAATGCAGAAAACCACATGATTATGTCATGGTTAATCAATTCCATGACCAAAGACATCAGAGAAAATTTTCTTCTCTACGGCACGACCAAGAGTATTTGGGATGCTGCTCGAGAGGCGTACTCTCACTCAGATAACACATCCAAGCTCTTCGAGATCGAGTCAATCCTCCACGATCTTCACCAAGATGATCAATCTGTGATTCAACATTTTAATGCCCTCACACGTTACTGGCAGCAGTTGGACATGTATAAAGTTCATGCCTGGTCATGCACTCTGGAATCCAACTTATACCGTCAGATTATCGAGCAAAAAAGGATATTCAAATTCTTTCTTGGCCTCAACAACTCTCTCGATCATGTCCGCTCTCATGTATTAGGCTTCAAACCACTACCAAACATTCGCGAGGCCTTCTCTGAGGTTCGCCGCGAAGAAAATCGCCAGAAAGTCATGCTTGGGTCTATCTCCAACTCGCCCAATCTCTCCATTGATGCCTCCGCCCTTGCAGCTCGGGTTCCTCTGCCTCGACACAGCTACAACCCATCACGCAAATGCCGTCCATGGTCCGACCATTGCCGCAAACCATATCATAATAAAGACAAGTGTTGGGTGCTTCATGGAAAACCAGCCGATTGGAAGCCTCGGTCTGATTGCGCTCCCCGTGCCAATAGCGTCGTCGCTGCCGATGACCTTCCTGCACCAGCACCC